TAGAGGTAGAAAGTGACAGCAACGAGAAAATAAAAACGATAAAGGAGAAAGTAACCAGCCATGCATAATATTTGTCAGAATTCCTACCATTTTTGCAATAGATTCAGATTCCGTTACACTTGGTTTTTTTTTTTTTTTTGGGTTGGTCAATATTCAATAAATTAATTCTATAGTTTTAATGCCGGGAAGGGGCAAGTAGTAGGTAGCCAATTAAATTTAAGGGGGGTTGCCACATCTACCCAAATTAAAGACACAACATTGATCTGATGAGGAGCATAAAAAAAAAAAAAAGAAAAAAAAGAAAAAAAGTTGTCCTGATCATGGGAAAACAACAACAGCTATAAATGCAATATCGTTATTTCTTTCTTTTATTTTTGTCTAAATCTTCAATCTCTCCTGAATTTTTCACCATGAAATACTGGTTTCAAGTTCTATATATTTAATACTAATAAAACATTAATTCTGTAGGTAAAGACTTGTTGAGAAGTGCTAAATCCAAAAGACATAAAATTATAGATAAGCTACATTTTATATATGATTCTTTTTATATCTAAGTTTTATTTATGTGTTTTTTAACCTCTATTTTTAGGATATATATAAATTTAGTGTACTTTTTTATATAGATGTATATAAAAAATTATAAAAATTAATATAAATTTAAACGTTGGTGTTACGTGAATAAGTTTAATTATACACATTTAATAAATTAGAGATTGATTTTTATTTTTAATATAAATTTATAACAAAAAATATATTTAATATACTTTAAATGCACAAGTTAAAGAAATCTTTTATTTATTAAATTTTGTTTGTTCATTTTTTCACTATAATTGAGGAATTGAGTGATATTATTTATACCATGTAAATTGAATCTAATGTGTAATTTCTTCTTCACATGAACAGGTCAAAGTCAGATTAAAAATTCTAAAAGTTCTGTATAATATAGAGGTAGAAATTGACAGCAACGAGAAAATAAAAACGATAAAGGAGAAAGTAACCAGCCATGCATAATATTTGTCAGAATTCCTACCATTTTTGTAATAGATTCAGATTCCGTTACACTTGGTTTTTTTTTTTTTTATTTCCTGCCCGGTATCTGGGACTTCGTCCCGATTAATCTAGATCGACCAGCGTCACACACTTGGAAATAGTGGGTGAGTCTCCCAACGAAAATTGCTGCGTACACAAAATTTCGAACTCGAACCTTACGTAAACTGGAACAAACCGCTTACCACTTGATTCAATCCTTCGTTAGTTACACTTGGTTCTTTACAAACATAAAATTTTCTTTTTAAAATCAACATGCTTAACCCAAAAAATAAAGGATGAGAAAGATACTAACTAAAATGAAGTGAATAGTTACCAACAACCTAAGTAGTTCAGTAGTCATTTCCTTTCGTTGGAAGTAAGACATTTTAAGTTTAAATAACATGATATACGAGTGGAATGAGATAATAAATAAAAAATTGTTATCTTCCATTGTGCAACCAATATAAAAAGAAAAATGAAGTGAATAGTTTATCAACTTTTCAAATCAAGATTTAGGTGACTATCATAAACTTAAACTTAAATTATTACTGTAATACATAATAATTAGTTTTGGTATCTACTCTATGTATATACCATTAGCAAATAGTGTCCAACACTTAGTAGTCTATTGGGCACCTTCCTCGCGGAATGTGCTTAGGACATTATGACTTGAGTTTTATACCTAGGTTACCCTTTTCCCCTTCTTTGAAAATTTCCCCATTGTTCAAAAAAAATACCATTAGCAAATAGCTTTTTAATTTAATTTGAGATTCAAATTTCACAACAACTCATATTTTTTTATTTATATTTTTTATAAATCTTTTATTTTACAATATAAACTATAAAAAGAGAATTGTTGGATAAAGAAAGGGTTTTATCTTTTATTTAATAATAAGTGTCATAATTTTAACTCAATCTAAACTGTTAAATGTTTTTTTAATTATTCATTTTTTTAATTTTATATTTGTTGACAAACCGATATCCTTTAATATTTGACCATACCCTTCAATTGAAAAGGGCTGACATTCAAGAAAGTGAACTAACCTCTAACTGAAAACTACCTACCACCCTTGTTTTTCCCCCAATCACGTTTCCTTCTATTTTTTGGTAGGCAATTTGTTTGGATCACACATAATTTTAATATGAGAGTAATTATTATATCCCATAATATAATAGCTAAGATGTAATGAAATAAAACTCAAATAAATACATTCATTAATTTTTTTGGATTAAAAATAATATCAGAAATATCTATATATAGTTTGAGAATGTTATTTATACATATTATAGCTTCTTCTTCTTCTTCTTTTTATAAGTAACGTATCGTAATTTTTAAAAAACCACATCTTCATTAATAATTATAAAATATATGTATTGGGTTAGTGTTTGTCCACCTTACTTTCAAAAAATTAAGAGAAAAAATGATAAAAATTACCTTAATGCATGTTTTAAAAATATGGTAGTTTAGTCTTTTTCAATAAAAATTTATTAAAACGACATAATTTTAAGATAATTTTCCTCCTAATCTTTAGGAGGTAAGACTGATAAGCACTATTTTCTATATATATTAACCTCAAGACATAGTTCAATGGTTAAAAATTTTAAATTAAAATAAGTTGAAAATCTCAAATTTAAATTTTTAGTTAAGTGAGGAGGAATTTAGAGAAATTGATAATTATATCCTCTTATAGAATCTATCGTTATCAGATATACAAAAAATATATATTTTTTGTACAAAACAAATTGTATTTCACTTTTTTGATATAATTTTTTTTTTAAGCTCTTTAGTTTCTTCATGTATTTGAAGTATTTCTTAGTACTTAACATTTTATTTTATAATATTTAAAAAAATTAAGAAAAAGTCTAACGGACGAAATTAAAATTAGTTAAAAAAAAAAAAGGATTTAAGAATTAGGGAAAAGACAAAAGTTCTTTTCCCACCAAACCAAACAGAAACATTGTAAACAACAACTTCCCCCTTCACGTTTCTGTTACCTTCTCGTCTTCCGCGTTTTTCTTCTTCGCATTATATTAACCTTATTCCTATTTCCTTGGAAACTTCTGGATTAATTCACCCCACCCCCCAATTTCTAGGGTTTAATTTTCTCCTCTCAGAAACCCTAATCTATCCATCGAATTCAGGTTTGTTTCTTCTCTTCCTTTTCTCTCTGCTCGATTTTGTTTCGCCCTGTTTGGCTTCGGCTGCCTAGAAATCCAAGCAAATTAGAATAATTAATGCAATTGAATTGAAATTTGAATTCTGTTTTGTTCTTGTGTTGATTAAGGTTCATTGACTAGTTCAATTGTGTTAGTTTCTTGGAAAAAAACGTTTACTTTAGTGTATATTTTATATGCATTTTAAAGAACTAAAATGTGAGAGTTTGGTATATTATTCTTGGTGGAGCTTTTGTATTCTGATTGGTGTCTGTTTGTTATTCTGTTTGGTTGCTGAGAAAATGCATGAAAAGAAGAAAATTTGGCAACCATATGCTGTCTGTTGTTACGTTTGTGAAGCTCAGCCGTTAGTTTTATTACTATAATTTTCTCTTTTTTTGTTTTGTTTGTATGTGAGGAAGTTAGTGTGGTTAACTACAAAAATTTTGGATAAACTACTTGTTAATGACTTGAACTGTGTTCTTTGATTACCATTTAAATGAATAATAAAAGGAAGAATTTGAAACTGCAATGTTATTTTTCCTTCTTTTTTGATTTATTTTATTGGCTGCCAAACAAAGGCTTTGGTGTTTCTTGTTAGGAAGGTTGGAATGTCTATGGTGCACTTGATTTCTGGAGTATTTTTGGAAGTCATACTGATGCTTTTAAGTTATGTAACTTGCCATGGCTTAGCATTCACTGTCATGTGCTTACTTTTCAGGATTTTCTTTTGGTTTTTGGTGATCATGTCGAGTTTGGAGGAACCACTTGGTTTTGACAAGCTGCCAAGCATGGGCACCGTTGACAGGATTCAGAGGTTCTCATCTACTGCTTGTCGGCCTAGAGGAGATGATGTGGGCATGGGGAGCTCCTGGATTGATGGGAGGACTTGCAGCACATCTAATAGTTGTGGGTAAGTGAGATATGCATCTCTGCCTTAAATAATCTTTAGCCTTGGTTTTGAAAAAAAAAAAAAAAAACGTGATGCTAAAATATCCTGCCTTAAATGAATCTCAAATGTTTTCCCCATTGCACATTCCGTTCTATTATATTATGAATATTAAGCATATGGTAAACTGTAATCTCACCTCATATCTTGAATTGCAATCTTCGTGCAATATGCATTCACCTCTGCTTTGTCAAACCTTTATAGAGCGCTAGTATTTTATGTTTCCAATTGCCTCTGGCTTTTGCATTGTCAACCTATTCATTGTTGTTATCGATTTTAATGTTTTATCTTTATAAGCAATTTTACATGATTTTGCAACATCTGTTAATTTACAGGGAAGATTATGAAGAATATGATGAGGCATTCCCATGGAGAAGGCATACAAGAAATGTGTCTGAAGGTGGCTCCTTTAATCGAAGGAGTTCAAATTCTGGAAGGAATCATGATAATTTTGGAAACATTTGTGATTCACGTTACTTGCCAGATCATCAATATAACTCCAATGCCGATGACAAAGACATATGGGGTATAACAAATAAGGTAATTTAAAAATATTGTTTTTTTTTTTTTTTTTTTTTGTAGTTTTCTTTTTCTTTTAGGTAAGTTACACCCGTGTTTTAATTGTAAGATTAAGCTGCAGTTTTTCCTTATGACCTGAAATTCACTTGTGTTTAAGCAGTTTTTGAAAGGCATGCCCAAGTTTGTGAAGATAGTAGAAGTTGGTCCAAGGGATGGATTACAAAATGAGAAGAATACTGTTCCTACCTCCATAAAGGTTGAATTGATACGTAGACTAGTATCTTCAGGTTTGCCTGTGGTTGAGGCTACAAGTTTTGTTTCGCCTAAATGGGTTCCTCAGGTAATGAAATTTCCTTGCTTTGTTTTATCAGATGCTACCATTGTTAATTTATGCCATCAATTCCATCTGAATTGAAGAAATAATTATCTGTGTTTATAGTCACTTTATTTGCATTCAAAGTGTCTAGCAAATTGAGGTAACTGTCTCTAATTTTGTTTATCCTTTCCTTTTTATATAGCTAGCAGATGCTAAGGATGTAATGGAAGCTGTTCACAATGTTGAGGGAGCTAGACTTCCTGTCCTTACACCTAATATGAAAGTGGGTGAATTTCTCTTGAATTGGGTACTTCAACCATGCCATCCTGATATGACTGGAACTTCCTAATTGTTATGTCATTCTCTTTTAGGGTTTTCAAGCAGCTATAGCAGCAGGCGCTAAAGAAGTAGCAGTCTTTGCATCAGCTTCTGAGTCCTTCTCAAAGTCAAACATCAATTGTACCATTGAAGAGAGTCTTGCTCGTTACCGTGCTGTTACTTCAGCTGCTAAAGAGCTTTCAATTCCTGTCCGGGGGTATGTCTGATCTTTTCACTAAAATTTATGGTAACCGTCCTGAGAATAGGCTCTTTGCTGTTCTGTGGATAGGATATTATTCTGTGGTCTTTTCATTGCTTATGAGTTTTCCTGAAAATTTAACTGAATTTGATATCATATATTACTATTCCAATTCAGAGTTTCAATTTATTGCTTGGCGGCTGCTATATACTGCCAAGAGAATTGCTTTTTGTGTTTTATTTATTTTTTATGGTACATGGATGAAAATAACTGCTGCTAAACTTTTACAGGTATGTTTCATGTGTTGTTGGTTGTCCAGTAGAGGGAGAAATTCCTCCTTCCAAAGTGGCATATGTGGCAAAAGAGCTTTACGAAATGGGCTGCTTCGAGATTTCCCTTGCTGATACAATTGGAGTTGGCACACCTGGTGATAATCTAAACTAGAAATTTTGTTCTCTTAGTCATGATATGATGGGTTATTTATGATGCCTGACAACTGTGGTGTTGGGATTATTCAAACTTTGTTCTTGGCCTTTGCTGTTTCAGTTATCAAATTTGAACTCTTCTAATTTTTCCCCTTTACATTGGTTCAGGTTCTGTTGTTCCCATGCTTGAAGCAGTTACGGCAGTTGTCCCTGCTGAGAATCTTGCTGTCCACTTCCATGACACTTATGGACAATCTCTTCCAAATATTCTAGTGTCTCTCCAGGTAAGCCTTGCACTCAGTTCTGTTTTCAACTTTTAATCATAAATATAATTACTTTGAGTTAGTACTGTACATAACCATGATTTGGGACCTTTTTATTGGATTGGATGGTCTGATCTAAGCTTTTACCCAGAGGTAGAATCAGAATTTGAATGACGAGACTGGGTTTTCCTGAATTCCTACCTTTTCACTGTTATTTGGACTACTGAGGCATGGACTAAACAGTCTGAAGTGACTTCGTTTTGATTAACAATGGCTAGGATTGCATAAACTAATAAGATTTATTGTTGAGGTTGCTGAGCTAGTATTCTTTCTTTTATGTCTGATGGAGTGTTTGTCTGTTGCAATTGTGAAGTTCACTTTTAACATCTTCCAATGTTATCTGAACAGATGGGAATTAGCACGGTGGACTCCTCTGTAGCTGGTTTAGGGGGCTGTCCATATGCCAAGGGAGCTTCAGGGAACGTTGCCTCTGAAGACGTTGTCTACATGCTTCATGGTCTAGGTGTGAAAACCAATGTAGATCTGCAAAAGCTCCTGTTGGCTGGGGATTTCATCAGCAAGCATCTTGGCCGCCAGTCTGGTTCAAAGACGGCCATTGCATTGAGCCGTGTTGTTGATGCCTCCAATATATAAGAAAATATGAAGGCAGCTCAAATTTAATTCAAAAAAATTTGAGCAGAAGGATTCTTTTTACCTGGCATGTCTCTCATTCTACGTGTTGCCCCATATATATTTGTAATATAGATATATATAACTATATAGGAATAAAAAGAACCCAAAACCATAAGTCAGTTACCATTATTTTGGTAATGGAGAATTCATCATTAGAAATTGTCACCAGCTTGAAACAAAAGCTGCCCCATTCTATGTCATATCCAGTTAATTGAGTTATGTACCAGCTTCTGCTGCATTTCAATGTTGTATTTCCAAACTTTTTGTCGAGATTATGTTCAATGTAAACACACAAAATATCAATGCATCTGCTTATGTTCCGATGTCAAAAAGGTATGGAATTTTGTTTTTGATCTTTCCTTTTGACATTAAACAGGGAAAAATCAAGGTCTGTTATAAAGGGTGTTGAGATCCCAATGATGATAGAGCCCCATGGTGTTTGACCAGTGAAAAAAAGAGAACAAAAAGTGGGAAATAAAGGGAGAAGAGTTCCCCACCGCCCTCTAATTGCTTGTCCACCACTTTTTACATTCTCTACCTTAATGATGCCTACTGTGCCTCATAACCACTGCTGCTCTTTTTTGGTGCAAGCTAGTCAAAACTCCCAACCCATCAACCTACTTTGAGAGAGTGGTGGGTTATGTCTCATAATGGAAATGGGTGGCACGGTGGCACCTTTTTCTGGTGTATACCTGTTGAACTTGTCTCCCAATATTTGTTCACTAACTCAAAATCTGAAGCAAAAGAAGACTGTTGAAGTTTCGGTCTAGTGATAAAGAGAGTTTTTTAGCATAGAATGATAAAAGGGTTAACTTGAGATTTTCAGAGATTTCAATTTGAATTCCTCCGTTTCTGATACAAATCATATAAATGAAGAAGTTTAGAGAGAGATTAGTATATGAGTACCCCACAAAAGAAGAACAATGCAATTAACTCCATTTCTGGTTTTATTTAGTTTGTAATAATGTTTTAAGCTTAGTTTGATAATATTAGTTTATATCTGCAGCTATAAATTTTTTAGTCTTTTAACATTCAAAAAATATATATTTAATATTTAATTTAATTAACATTTTATATATTTTTAAGATAACAAACAAATATAAAAATAAAAAAAATAAAATATTAAAAAATATTGTTAAACAAAACCTTAATTACACAGCTATACACAACAAGTTGAAAGAACCATGTTTAACTTAATTTAATATTAGAAAATTAATAATGACCTATTTATATAGTCATGGCCAAGACAACTGGCAAAGTAGAGATTTTGCATTTTACTCATTGCAATAACCATGCAGTAGGTTGGTTTTTGGGAAAACAATGATGAAGAAAAATGAAGCAATCTTTAAGGGGAGATTTTCCCAGTCTTTTCATCTGTGCTAAATTAAATTAAACCACCTAATTGTTAACATAAAAGTGGATGAAGACAACATGATGTTCTCCTAGAAAAGGATTACTCCTCATTATTCACTCTTTTGGCCCCCTCTGTCAACTCCTACCCCTTTGACTACCTTTGTAATGATTTGATCTTCATTAATCTTAAGGTTAAACATTTTTTTGTTTTTTTTTTTTTTTTCTAAAGTTGTTGAAAACCCAACCATATGCTTTGTGCAGAGACTCAGAGAGAGTGGTAAAAGATCAAAAAGGAACATTAAATTTATAAAACTCATTTTTCCTCCTCCTATCATAAGTATGGAACACAGACAAGCTTCTTGTAGAAGACATGACTTTGCATTGCAAGATAAAAGTAAAATCCACAATTTTCATTCTGGTTTTAATTTGTTCAAGAGAGTTATTAATTAATTAATTTATATCATCATCCCGACCCAATATTAATAGGAACCCCTTGACAGATAGTTTCACACTTTTGTCTCTCTCTCCCTCTAGGGTGTAGTAGATATATGCAGCATCATAAGGAGAAAGGCATCACCCCAATTCCCAAACAGAAAATAGCAACTCATCTTTCTCTCTGGTCCCTAGAGGGTTTCCCTAGCAAGAACCTTTTAATTTTAAACATGGGCTCTGAAATCAGTACCCAAACACCTCCTTCTGCATCCAAATTTATTGTCTTTCAGGACACCAAAACCTATGCATTTTGACTCTCTCATTTTCTGAGCTCAAACTCCAAGGTTACCCATCAAGATAAACCAACCACATCCCAAAGAAACAGAAGAGGATAGATAGAAAGTCTTTCAGTGTTCCTTTTAAGGCCTTTTCCATCAGTTTGGAAGAGAAAGTCGTTGTTTTCAATTTCTTTTTTCGGGGTTTGAGATGAGATAGAAGATTCCATGCATGATCTGGGCCTAGAAAATGAAGAAGATGGGTTTAAGAAAAAAAGTTGCTTGCTTTTCTCTTCTACTTCTGGTGCTGCTGTTACTGATAGAAGCTTCAGAATCTGCTGCTCGTGGATCTTCTGCTAGACATGGAAGCTTCAAAACTGGTAACTCTGCTGCTTCTCATGAATTTAGTCCTATTGAATCTAATGGTGTTAAAGGGTTTGAGAGAGATCATAAAGGTGAAGATGGTGATGCAGTTTTTGGTGATGAAAAGAGGAAAATCCACACAGGACCAAATCCTTTGCACAATAGATGATTATAGGAGCAAAAATTTTGATCATCCCACCTCTTCTTTGCTTAATATATATATATATATATATATGAATTTTCTCTTTTTATTCTTCTTCCTTGATTTTTGTTGATATTTGGTGGATGAACTTTGGATGTATTGTTCACATAAGAATCTACTAGCAGGCAATCCTACAGTTGCATAAATTATAAAGTTTTTTTTTTTTTTGTTTTTGGATATTTAAATTTTTCTGACTTCTGAATTCTTTAAGTTCATGTATATGATTGATTCATGGCATGGCATTTGCTGTTTGCCATTAATGGGGTTGTTGGTGTAATGACTATGAATCAGTGGTTATGGTCAAGAGGTCTTATTTCTTATTCACTAATTACCTAAAAAACCAATGAGGACTAAGTTGCCATTTCATCTCAAGCAATGGAAATATGAAATCCTCTGTTTCTTTTTCACTCTCTCAGAATTTTCTCAACAGTCAAACTAAAAATTTCTAACCATTGAAACTCTTAAGTCTTGAGATATTTTAAAAAGGAAAAAAAAAAAAAAAAGTAAGACGTCTTAATATTAAAAATATTAAAACGTTTAATAATAATTATGTAATAAATTTGATAAAAATAATATTCACATTATAACTTGCATATTTAATCATTATGATTGGACATTTTAATATTTTTAATATCAAAACATTTTAATTTTTTCTTTTCTTTTTTTAAAACTATTATTTTTTATTCTCAAGATTAGGTGTTTATCCTCAAACCAATTTGCATATAGCTCTCCAAATTAATCCTCATAGAGCATTTAGTCTCCCCACCATTACTAGATATGTCAAAGAAAATTTAATTTATTGAGTGCTAAGACTTCTAAACTTAAATCATGAATATGATTAGAGGAACATGTCATTTACATCTTCTAAAATCTTGTGTCATGAAAAATTTTCTCTACCAAACTTGACCCAAGACGGTAAGAACTAAATTCTTTTAAAATTGAGAGAGTAAAAATTAATCTCCCCCAAGCTAGGCCAAATAAATAGTTGTTTCTCACAACACACTCAGTTGTGATTGCATTGGTAGGATGCACCTTAACCATGAACACCACCATGGTTCAATTTCTTGTAATGTTATCT